AAAAAGTAGAAATTTTAAATTATAGTGCTAGGACGTATCAGCTGGTTATAGTTATATATTTATTAACCGCTGGATTAAGTCGGAAAGGGAGCGTATAATTATTGCATATTATGTGTATTCCACTTATTGTAAGCACAGTTTGCAACATAGCAGCACATTTATAGGTGCGTATTTTATGCAGGCGCAGGCTGGCTAGGTAAATTCAGAGGACATACCGGCTATCTCATCCTACACTGGACGCAGACAACATTTTTTCCCGCACAAACGTATTCATAACGCTCTGCTCCGCATTGCTGTTCACGAGCAATTTATACCGCCTTATACCAACCTATAATTACTTGTATAGATAACTGTTATCGCCAGAGTTATTAGTTACTCTTTTAACACAACTCGGTGACAACTGCAAAAATTTTAGTTTGAGACTCGGGCCGTCACCTGCCAGACTCAAAGTCTTATTATTCAGATTCAGAGTTTGGTAGTCAGATTCAGAGTTTTAGGATCCGAATCATACTTTTAGTATTCAGACTCAGACTTTTAGCATTCAGAACCAGATTCAGACTCAGACTTTCAGCGCAGACCTGATAGAAATGGTAGCAAGGTGGCCTTTGATGAAATAACCTTCTTTTTTCCACAAACAACGGTTTTTTTGTTCAACCTGCATTTCGTTCAGGTAACTTCTAGCAAAAGATTGCATGCGAAGCTTTTTCAATGATAAAAGTAAGAATGGGGGTGGAAGTATTCTGAATGGCAGTGCTTTGCATGCTAAGTGCGAGAATTGTGCATGTTAAGTACGGTTTCGAGAAAAATGCCCTGGGTGGATGCAAAAATGGTTTTTCCCATTGTTTTAGAATTACAGATCAAATGTAGTTACATAATTAGTGTAGTGTATAATTAATCTAAGTCAAAATATGTAATCAGGAAAATCAGATAAATAGATGAAAACTAATAGCCATTGCCGGTCCGAAAAATACCATAATCTGCCTTTTCACACGCTTGTAAAGTGACGCAATTGCCATCCAAAAATTTGTTAACATGTATCGTTCATAACGTGTTTAAACGTGTCGGGGTGCCGAAGGACAGCCAATACTTATTAGAAACCACTTGATTTTAAGCCAAAATTAACTTTTCAGTAGCCATACAAAAGCCAAAACCGGAGAGAAAGTCAATGAATTATGAATACTGACTTATCTAACCCCGCTAAAGCAAACAAACCAACTCATACGCTAAAGCAAACAAACCAACGTAAAGAGTAAACTCAAAACGGAGTTTACTCTTTACGCTTATAAAGCCCAAGGTCAGTAGTAAAAAGCGTATGTCACTTGTATAGATTAAAAATAATCTAAGCACATAAAAAACTGACGATGTGCTCGCTTAGAAACTTGTGCATAGCAAACGCTTAGAAACTTGCTTAGTAACTTGTGCGGCTTGAGCGTATGAATCATCGCGTGTTAATACTTAGCTCTTTATGAAGCCATTACCATTTTAAATAGCTAATCGCTTGTGGTTATCTTTGGCGGCGGCGAAACAAGAACTTCGGATTAGTACCGCAGTTGCCAGTTGGCGCAGCCAACTGCGGTACCTGTTTCTATTGAATATCGCAGTGTGAATATGTTTCTATTATATTCACAATGTGCTCCGTCTGTGGCGTCTGTCTCGGCGGGATGGGCTGGTGGATTTGGGAGGACTGGTCATTGCGGTCGTTGTTCCGCAGCATCCACGCCGCACTCCGTTTACGGAGACTGACATGTTCTCCCAGTGCAGTGCGGAGGAGATTGCCAAGCTGTGGCGTCTGGCCCGTCGGGAGAAACTGGAGACCATCGACCTGGAGAAACTGACCGTTGAGGGGCTTCTTCAGCATCACCCACGCCGTCCTCAGTTTACCGAATCAGAGGCGCTTCCACTTCACCCGCAACGAACTCATCAAGTTGGAGACACCGTTGCAGCCGAGGTTGGACCGACGCTGGCCCAAGATCGCCGCTGACGGTTTCGCGGTGGCCGTCGGCCGGGAGCTGATCGTCAGCAGTTCGGCGTACGGTTTCGCGGGGGACGCCATGATGGCGCTGGACTGTATCAGCGGTATTTCGCGCACCCTCATAGTCAACGCCCCGTTCGCAGAATGTTTGTTTGCGGTGGCCCTGGGCAGCAAATTTTACCGTGCTTGCAAAGCGAAGAGCGGGTATGGTGAAGTGTGGTACGATTTTGATATGGCAACTAGGCAACTGCGTCAGATCGGACAAATCCTGTATTACACGTTCGAGAAGCAACCGCGACGGGTGATCTGGGTGCCGAAAGGCAAAGCTAAAGCCAAACGATCGGAGAAAGGTGAACTTCGTACGGTTGAATGGGAAACGCTTCAGCAGATGAGGAATGATGGCATCAAGTGCGTAGAGCAGAGGAAAGAGTACGCGGACATCGCCGCAAGATATCTGCGATATAATCGGTAAGCTCATCCTCTCCTCTGTTAAAACACTGTTTTATAGGTCTTGTCTTTTATTGCAGTATCTCCAATCTCCATGGAAGCGTACGCGCTTTCTAAAGATCGAATCTGCTTTCTCTCGGTGAGATCCGTTGACGAGAGAACCGATATTTATCCGGCGGGTTGGGTGGAATTCTACGACATCTCCAGCAATACGGGGACGAAGCACACCAGTTGGGAGGAGCCGACGCAATGCCAGAGTCACAGCCAGATCATCGTCTTCCAGGCCTATCTGTACTTCACGGGCGGCTGCACGTATGGTAACCCCTTAGTTTCAGACAGAAGAAACGGGAGCCCGATAACCGCCTGCTATCGCGTCTCTCTGAGCCGCGCTCAGTCCCAACCGGAGCGTATCGCGGATCTTAACGTGGCGCGCTACCATCACTGCGTCTTCGTCAAGGACGGCCAGATTTGGGTGTACGGCGGAACGACCCACTCGCCGGGAATATTAGACGGAACCGTGCGGTGACGTTCTTCGAAACCTACAATGCCGAGGCTGACCAGTGGTCCTTGATGGAGGTGCCGATGTCGAAAGACTGGATGAGGAACTGATTGAAGGGGATTATGCGCAGAACTCGGTGTGCTTACCCTTGCCGTATCGCGTTCCGGCGGTGTGCGACGGTTCTGGATATCGGAATGACGACAATTATGATTACAACGACAAAACGAACTTTAATTACCGGATGACTGACATGTTCATCAAAGACTGGCGTTTGGAGTACGAGCGTGAAAGCGAGTGGCCCGGTGGTCTGGATGACTGACGACATGGGCTATAATCTTTACGTTTCCGCCGGTTTTGTGTTCGTCTGAAGTTCTAGCAGCATTTTTGCTGAAAGCAGTTTTCCGTCCATATTGCATCTAGTTTAGTAAGTATGTATTTCTTTTGGAAGCAGTTTGTGTGTAACCGTAATTTAACCGCGTTTTTTTTTCTAATGTTTTGTCCTACCTAGTATTTTTTTACGTGTATTTGCCTTTTGATTCATGATCACGTAAAGCAACGTTGAACTTTGTTAAGTAACAATATACTGTAAGTAAATTTCCATGTGCATTACAAAACTGCCATCGTACATTACAATCGAGTCACGAGGTGTCACTCATTATTATTGTAAAAGAGTTCGTTTGGCAGTAAAACAGAAGACTTTTTCCAAAAAGTACGAATGTGTTTTTACGCTAATCGCGCTTTGCAACAAATTTCAATTTCAAGGCCAAAGATTGTTTCCGTTGTCTGGTGGAATTGTACGGTACAGCGTGGGTACAGTACGGCTTTACTATGATCTTTGCATACTGGTTTGCAGTTTGCATTCCACAAGGTTTATTTAGAGCCATTTCCCCCCCCCTTCGCCAATATGGACGAGAATCGCACGGCGACCAAGAAGTTAAAGACTGCGCACCAGCAACACCAGATCCCAACGAAGACAGTAGTAAGGTTAACAGGTAAGACCACTTTGTCAAGACTAGCGGAGGTGTACAAAATTAATATGAGACAAGCGGATTAATGGACCGGGTGGGGAAAGAATGCCCGGGGGTTTATAATATAGTAGTGCGTACTGTATGTATATTATATTATGTACAGTATCTTGTGCAGTCACTCGGCAACGTGTGTTAGTCAGCGCTGGGAAAATGTGGTTTGTTGTGGTTCTTCACGACCGCAGCATACTTATGTAATACTGTAGCCGTTAGATGATGTGAGACCACTGATAGATCCGGGCGCTGCCTTCCACTCGTTAGCCATTGAGCATGAGCCTTCCTCCCACCGGGCGGCGCACACTTTGCCTTGCATTTAGTATTGTGCTGCTCCTGCCAGGGGCACCCCAAAAATCACAACAAATCAGATTTATAAATAGAAAACTATCAGCGCTCTGTCATTGTGCTCTTAAAACAAATTTCTTTTGTTGCAAAGAATTAAAAAATAGTAAAGAACAGTAAAACGTGTCAAATGTTGGTAGCAGCTGAGGAAAATCAAATACATTTTTTGCATGGAGCAAAGTATGGATATTGGGCTGGCATTTTTCCGTACACTAGACTCTATGGTCTCACTTCATCTAGCGGTTACAGTAGTCGAAACCCTGCGCCCCTCATGGCAGTAGAATGGGGTACATCACTTCGTCTCGCTGCGTACTACGGTACATACGGTGCAAGCGAAGATGGCGTTGCTGCATGTACGGCACAGTGTGGTATACCACCGGTCAATGCACGTGGGCTGACGGCCCCCTGTCAGCCGGCCCATGCACTGTATTGCGCATACATTAGCGTATAACGCATTCGAAAATTAAAATGGTATTAAAATAGAAAATTGTATCGTAACACTTTGCACTATCACGTCGCCGCACGATCATCGAATAGTTTTATTTTTCAACACCAATATCAGGCCAGCAAGCGCGCAATGGTACATAAGGAAGAACAAAACCAAGGAAATTAATATTAAAAAAATTCCAAGGCGAGACTTGAAAATAAGTCAGTATTAAAAAAAATCTTTTTAAAAAAACCAAAATGCCAAAACAAATCCGCTTACCGTTTGAAGGCACTAATCAAATGTGATGACCTCTGGCACCGATTCTCCAGGTCCCTCAATGGCATCGCCTTCATCCTCTTCTTCGTTATCCGCATCCATGGCTTCGTCTAAAATTGTAGCATTAATGAAAGAATTGTACAAAGGTAGAGCTATCGACTTACCGCTGAGAAACCAGGAAATGTCATCGTTATCATCTTCATCGCTGTCGACATCATAAGCGGTGATGATGAACAACTTAACCCGAGGGAACGCATCCACCATCCAGCGGTCGTAGCCACGGATCTCACACAGCTCGTTGCCTTCGACATCGAGCGCGCGTAGCTTCGGAAGACGCGTCAACGGTACCAATTCATCGCGGTACCCGAGCTAGTCCCCGACGATGGACAGCTTCTGCAAGTTGGGGAAACACGCGGGTATGACGCTCAGGTCTTTTAGGTGGTTGTCACCCAACATTAGTACACGAAGATTGGGCAGGCGTGGCATCCCCTCCAAGGACCAGAGGTTACAATCAATAAGGCTGAGCTTTTCCATTCCTTGTAACTTGGCGAACCCAGGAAGGACCGATGGCGGAATCTGTTTCCGTCGAACACCGCTTCCGGGGTTTGGGGGCTCAGCTTGCTAAATAAGATGCGGTAAGCTACCTCTTTATAAGCGAGAGAAGTTGCAGGCATTTTTTAGTGATTTATCGACTAAGAAAAACAGGTGATTTCAAAAACAGACTGCAAGAAACGTAATCCCAGCTTTACCTTTATATACTGAACAGGATAATCCGTTTTGAGAAGTATAATCGTTTTTGATTATCCTAGTACTAGTACTCTATGGTAACGGTAGTACGTATAATCGGTTCTGATTATCTCACTTACGAGTTAAATAACCAAAATCGATTATCCCATCAAAGATAATCGTTTTTGATTATACCCAAGATAATATATAAAGCAGACCCAAAAAATCGGTAAAGGTCAGTAACGCAATGTTTTTTCAATGACTTACTGTGCACGTTTTAACATGACCGTTCGTGATTGTCATCCTACCTGCTTTTGTTCCGCCGTCACATCGGTAAGTCATAATGTACCATTCCGTGAAGTTTATTCCAGTGATCAGTCTGTAGAACTTTTTCAATTCCGTCCGTAACAATAAGCGTACCGAAAACAATAAAAAACACAACGTACAAAATAATTAAAAGAGCTTTTTTGCATTTTTGCTCGACATTACGACCCAAGCACATCATATGCTGCAGGTTAGCCATTGTGAAGCCGATAAAGTACGAGTACGACCGTAGTCCTTAAATAGACATTCATGTACAGGCTGCCGAACGACAGATGAGTTTGGACGATCGCTTAAAGACGTCTGACAAATGGCCCTTGTCGTACGTTTCACCGCAGTCCCTTGCGGAAGCTGGTTTCATCTACACAGGAGAAGGAGACGAAGTAAAGTGTGTGCTGTGCCGGATGGTTCATTTCAACTGGATGATCGGTGACCTGCCAAAGTTCGAGCACCGGCGTGTCAGTCCGGAATGCCCGTTCGCTGCTCTAGTGGCGGATGGTGAGGTGTATGTTCCGGCCATGAAGGAATACCGCGATCGATTTGCCACGTACGCTAAATGGCCGGGCCAAGTCATTAGCCAACGCCCAATGGATATGGCCAATGCCGGGTTCTTTTTTATGGGGGGAATGTGGGATCAGGTGTAATGCTTCTGCTGTGGCCGTAAACTGATGCAGTGGACACGCGATGACGACCCGTGGATTGAGCACGCCAAGGATGAACCTCGGTGTGAGTATTTATTGGAGAAAAAAGGCCCGCGATTTATTCAGGAGGTTCGACGGTTTCACAATATCGATGAATTGAAGTGGGCGGGTAGCTGCGTAAGAATCGAATGGATTTTTTGGTGGCGCTTGCCAGGGACGAAGGTGTGTATTACACGTACCTGATAAAGGCTGTCCTACGGTTTCGGCGTTTCAATCGCATCCAGGACCTCGTGAGAGCGGCAAATAAAATCAAGGCTCGTACCATCGAAGCACGACTGGAGGAAAACTGTCAGCTGGAAAAGGAGTGCAGCGTACGTTTGAATAAAAACGTTTCAATCTGTTTTTCACCGTGTGGGCATGCAATTTGTTGCACTGAATGTGCTGCTTGCGTACAAGAATCCCGCTTTGCCGTCAGCTGATTTTGGATAAAATTAAAATGTTTTTTGCATAATTAGCCTATTTAAGCCGACGTGCTTACTGGTGTGAATTATTTCGGAATCAAAAATGTTTGGGTTAATATATGATTATCCGCGCTTTTGCGCTCCTTTCGGTATGTGCATTTGTGGACCTACGATGTCGAGTAAAACGCAGTTTGTTTCACGTTACTCAAAAATAGTTCAGCGGTCATTGATCGACCACCAACTCGGATACTGTATTGTTATGGTCAGTGGCAGAAAGGTTTCGACGAACTACGAAAAGACGTTGCACAAGTTGAGTTCTTACATGGTTTGGATGACCTCTTCTCAGTGGTGCACTCTGTTGATAGCGACAGCCATATTGTAGTCGTCATCGATGACCTGGCTACGGATCTGTGTAAAGACGTGCGGTGCGCGGACCTTTTTACCCGCAGAATACATCACAAGATTATTTCCGTCATCATGCTCCTTCAAAACCTGCACAAACAAGGAAAGACTATGCGGGACATAACGCTGAACTCCCAGTACCTGGTACTATTTAAGAACGTGCGTGATATCAATCAGATCTCTTTATTGGCTCGTCAAACAGGACTCAAGCATTTGGTGGACGCATACCACAAAGTCACAACAGAGGCATATCAACCACTTGTCTTGGACTTACGCCAAAACTGTTTTGACTATTTAAGGGTTCGTTAGCACGTACTCCCGAATGAGTAAATGCGTATTTATCTGGACCGAAACCGTACCAACACCTTACCAAAATGTCCGAACGTGTGAAAGCTTTGGCACCCTTCATAATTACTATTCAACACCTGAAGCCGCTGCAGCGGAAGGTCTTGATGAGCTACCTGACCAAGACCCAACTTAAAGCACTGGAAGAGGTGGCTGTCAACATTGTAAAAAATACTGTGAATTTGTCTCCAGCGCACGCAGAGAAATGTAAACGCCACCGGAAAGCATTAAAGCTGATTGCCCTGCGGAGGTATCCGCTCAAAGAAAAACGGAGAATATTCCAACAAGGAGGATTCGCTGGAGCCATTTTACCTGTAATTGCCGGAGTTTTAACGTCGTTGATCTGTAATGGATGAATTCTTCATAGTACCACGGCGTGTGATGGAGAACCGGATGCAGAACCAGCTCCAGATCAACAAGGAGCCGCCAGAAGCTCACGCCGTAATAACGCTGGATGCGCTAGTGGCTAGAACCCTGCAACGAACCGATATAAGTGAATCTGAAAAAGCTAGCCAGTTAAGCAGTATTCTGGAACGGTTCCTCGCTCTTAAACAAAAAGCCATACCCGATGAAAATCCTTTGGAATTATCAGCTGACGTTGCCGCACAACCACCACTGATAGCTTCCGAAAAGCAGCCGGCAGCCTCTGCACCCCGAGCGGATCTACCTACCAAAGGCCAAAAGCGGGACTTGAAAAACGAGCCGGAAGACAGTAATAGACCAAAGGCAGCACGCATTGCTTTGTTTCCACCAACACTACCGAAGAAATGACGCAAGCGATATTTTCAAGACGACAGCGGTGAAGTGCGACCAACCAAAGCAGCGCGCATAGCGTTGTTTGCCCCGACAGTACCGAGGAAACGTCGGAAACGGCAGCCCGAAGACACGGAGAACTCAACGCATCCATACAAGCGACCGCGGCGACCTCTATTTCCGGTCACCACTCCCTTTCGCGGTAAAAAGAGAATAGCGGACCAGATTGAAGGCAGTGTGAGGAAGCTGCGCTCCCGTACTATTCAAAAAGGATCGGGTGCGTCCAGAATCCAGTGGATTACTCTAACGTAATGGCTAGCTTGCTGCCTAGTGTATTGCGGTTATGCCGAATATTTAAGATCAATTGCGTGTCCACCTGTTGTAACAAAGCGGATGGAGAAGCTAATGAAGCGATACCTCAACCCATGCGACCCCGACGGTCTTGGAGGCGTAGAAAGGTTTCGAAGAAGTCTCAAGACCAGAGCCAACAGACGGAAAGCACAAGAGATTCGGCAGGAGATCGATGCGTATACTGTGACAAAGGAAAATCGCCGGTGGTTTGCGCGCAATCGCATCGTAGTGACCAACCTTCGCCAGCAGTACCAAGCGGATCTGGCTGATTTGTCAAAATATTCCAAAAAAAATGATGGATACAAACACCTGCTTTTTTTATTGACCGTTTCTCCAAAAGGCTTAGCATCCAACCGATGAAAACCAAAACGGCCAAAGAAACCAAAAACGCCTTATCGCAGGCCTTTGAGGAACTCTGCGAACCGGAGAAGCTGCAGTACGATAAAGGAACGGAAGTTGTTAGCGCCACCGTCAAGACTTTTTTGAAAGAAAAAGATTCATTTCTTCGCATCGGAAAACGAAGACATCAAATGTGCCATTGCCGAACATGTCATTCGCATCATCAAAACTCGGATGTTTCGCTTGTTCCGAGCGCGAATGTCGACGCGGTACGTTGATAAACTGCAAGATTTCGTGTACTCGTATAACCTTTCAAAACATCGGGCCCATGGATTGCGACCAATTGACGTCACACAACACAATTCGTTGGCGGTATTCAACAAGTTGTATCCTACAAAAAAGGCCCGGCGACCTCGGTTCAATGTCGTGATGCGGTTCGCGTTGCCGTGCACAAAACCAAAGTGGAAAAAGGTTATACGTATCGATTTAAGGAGGAGGTGTTCTACATTAGTAAAGTCATTTCGCACAGCGTACCGGTATACCGACTGCAGGACTACCAAGAACAACCTATCGATGGAACATCCTATGAACACGAACTTTCCAAAGTGTCGCACCCGGAACAAAAGGAGCATACCATCGACCGCGTTATTAAACGCCGTGGTGATAAGATACTAGTACGGTGGTTAGGTTACGGACCTGAACACGATTCCTGGATCAAGGCATCATGTATGAAGGAGCACCGTTCTACGTGACGCTTCCGAGCGATGTGGCCAGGCACCCAAGCAACTGGACGAACAAACTGAAACATCCCATTACCCTGAAAGGGAAATGGGAAATGGCGCTCGTTGAGCTACAGTACCTCAACTCGTTTTTTACCCTACCTGTGGAGCAGAAGATCAAGGTCCATATCGTGCGAGAATTCAAGCTAAAGAAGGACGAAGCAAATTTTCTAGAGTCCGCTGACCAAGTTGTCCATACCGACGAGATCACCATCCCACCTGGAAATTACAAGGATGGTGAATTATTATTGAAAACCATTAATACACTGGTCCCGAAAGTTGGAACGCACATGGTGGACGATACCGTGCATGCTGACAAGAGTGCCTTGACCGCCGACAGAGCCTTTACCGTTCAACTGCTTACCCCCACCAATCATCGGGTCCGACTGAATACTGGCAACAATCGGGTTTCCGTC